TAGGCCTCATTTACATAGCAGGCTCCCTTCATCACTTCTTAATTATACATTACCTTTTGAAAAAGCCGAAGAAAAAAAACTACTTGCGTCTGGCGTAAGGGAAATGTATGAACTAGGAAAACGATTCAAAAGCCTTTTATCTGCAGGCGAAGAAAATAAATTTGTTAAGTTTTTTTCCTCTTCAGTCGACAGGTCTAAAAAAAGTGGATCTGCATTTTTTAATGGGGTAAGGCTTATTTCTAAGTATTTAATTCTTCATATAAATATATAAAAAAAATTTAATTTATTTTACATATTTAGTTTTTTAATTTGTCGGAGGATTCGAATGTATCTGACATCAGTATTCGTGATGAGGAGTTACGTTTCTTTGAATATTGTGAAAGATATATTAAAACGGTCGAAGAAAATGCGTCATCTCTTGTTGAGTACAAGTCTTTTCTCAATAGTCCTGAAGTAATAGAAATTCGGGATAAAGTTAGAAGCGAAATTGGCGATCATGAGCTGAGTGTCGGTATGTTTACACAGTACGATCACTATTAGTTGTTTACTCTGGGCTTAATATGCCTTTTAATTTTAGAGGACATTGTGACTATTTATCAGTCTTGTGGCTATGAAATAGCTGCTCAGGCTGCTCTTGCGGATTCGACGTCCTCATTGAATTCACCCTGGTGTCAGCTCTTGCCACATTCCAGTTTATATACTTTGGAATACCTTTCAGATATTAAAGTAAGCACATCCACTGTTTGGTGCTCTGGAATTCTTTTTTTTATTGCTTATTTCTACTTTATTTATCTTATCGTCTCCATATCATGGACATCTACAATTCCATCATATCGGTTCTGCAGCATGTTAACATTTTAAGGATGACAGAATGCTATCATTACTTTCTGGATTTACTTGGAATTTAGTAATGTTTTACAATATTCCTATGAGAGCCTAATGCACATTTTTGACTAATTATGCCAAATAAATGACTGATTGATGTCCATAAGCTACCATATATGACTTGAATTAACAAAGTTGTGCAGGATTACTTTCACTAAAATAAAAATCTATCAAAGTGGGTTGACCTCGTTTTCGCAACTTGGTCTTGTTGTCAGGGAGACTTAGTTGAATGCACCTTGTCAGAAGTCCTTTACCGTTTCAGCTATAATTCTTAGTATCAGACCGTCGACTTGGTACATTCTCAGACGTCTCGTCGGCATCATCAGTGAGTGTTGTCATTCTCCGCACCAGACTACAAACTCGTCAAAGAGACTAGTGTAGTCAATCTCTCAAACAACGTTTTGCCGAAACGGTTACACTATCACTCCTTCTATCTTGGTCCATATATCCACTGCCTACCCTCTTATCCAACTCCCTCCCTATCACAACTTCTGACTCGTCAAAATGTGTTCTCAGTTTTTGGCAAATGTAGTTTGGCGTCATCAGACCTGTTATTCACCCTGACCCCCTCTCTCCCTAGTTGCCTTTGGCATCTCAATGGGGTTTCTATTACATTTTGGCCATAATGCCGAATGTTTTTTACGATTGGGCTTATTCGTCTGCGAACAAATATCGCTCGCTGATATGTCTTCGCTTGATTTCCGACGTAATCGTTTTGGCAGAACGTTTGTCGGGGAATTGACTTTACT